TATGCACCTAACTTGGATCCAAGATAAGCGTGTGGTGTGGGAGGTGAACATCACGTGAAGGACCATGCCCTGCTCTGGGCGGGAGCACTAACATTGAGGTGCAGGTTTATGAGCTCTCAATGCATCTCACATAACTACTAATTCACAACCATAAACTATAAACTTACCTGGCACTTACCTGTGCGTCCGCAGCACTGATGCGAAATATATAAGCACACAAATTAAAACCCTCTTTTGACAATTGTAGTATATGTATAAGTAGGGATCGTTCTAAATCGGGGATTAGGAGGGATTGCTAAATCACTTGAAAACTGACTCAAAAACGTAAAACAAAGGTTAAAACACTAAAGTAGACTCAAAGAATGCAAAACTAAACACTTAAAACACTAAAACAAACCAAAAGACTCAAAACAGCAACAAAACACTCAAAACTGCCTTAAAAACACAATCTGGGCAGTTTTGAACACCTAACCTAATTTGGACGAATTTGGGTTATAACTTGAATGAAAACACTTAGAAACACAAATTAAGACACTTTCTAACTAAATTGAACACTAAAGTAAAGGGGGATTTAGTTTTTTAACGAAATTAAACAAAGTGCACAGATTGTAATAAAGACAGAATGTAAATACGAATTTGATGAAAATATGGATGGAATGCTAGCTAGAAGGTTCTTGGAATGCTAGCTAGAAGGTTCTTCTCCACACATGTCACACTTACATACAAGATGATTTTCAGTTGGTCTTTCGATGAATCATGAAACTCAACACCTCGGGTTAATTAGGTTCGCTTAAATTAACCTTCAAGTTCTCCTTAAGTTAATGAATTGGATGGGACAGCGCATACACAATTCAAAACATTCTCCAAAAGTCCTTTACGTGAAAAGCACAATAAAGATACAATCAAAGATCATTAAGCAACATGAAAACTATAAGTGTTGACGAGGCATTCGTTACTATGATGAGCATGAAACTAGTGCTAAGAATTCATTTAACGCGATCGTTTATAAGCGACCTCCACTATTTGTGAATATAAGTTTGTAACTATTAGGTGAAACTCACTTATATTCTAGCATCATATTCATGCATGAAAACTAAGCATGCACTCTCAATAAACATACACAAATAAGTTATCAATCAAACAGTTAAACAAATTGAATCCACAACTCATGAAATTCCAACCGAAGGTAATCAATTTATATTGCAAGCATAAACATGGTTTTGAATCACCCCCTAGCTAACTAGGGGTTTAGCCTCTCATGTTCACAGAAAGAGAAACAAAATTGAAATTAAACATAGAGAACAAAAGATTGATTACACCTAGAATGCCCAACGAATCCACTTTGAATTTCTGCACGTTTCAAGCTCCTCTTTCTTCTTCTCCTTGCTGTGGTAGAGAGGGTTTAGGATGATTTGGGATGTTATTTTGGTTTAGGAATGGTTTTAGGGAGGTGAAGGGTTGCGGAGGTGTATGGAGGTTTGAATGGTGGCTGGAAGGGTGGGAATGGTTGCGGCAGAGAAGGGAATTGGCTGGAATGGATGGGAATGCTACGGATTGAAGGGAGAAGATGGAAGGTTGGCTGCGGCAGAGAGTGTTTTTGGCTGAAGGATGAAAAGAATGAATAATAGAAGATCCTAGGGTGCGGCTAGGCTTTAGATTATATAGGGTTTCAGAAAATAAAACCCTAGCTTATTTTTATTAACTAAAATTAAGTCAAAGGCTTCTAGAATTAGGAAATTAAATCAGAAATTAAAAGGGAAGTGGCTGCAAGGTGCAGCTAGGGTTTAGTTTAGGCAGAAGCATGTGTTTTAAGTGCATAAAATGGGACAAAAATGCCCCCCCTTGCACGGCAAGGGATGGGGAGAAGGGAAAAGGCCACGGCAAAAGGGTTTAAGGGGGCTAGGGCCTTTGTTTTGTGTCCTAAAGTGCCTACGAGGCCTTCAAAGTGGCTAGAAAATACGGACGTTTAAGATTAGGAAAGGTTACCAAAATGGGAAACCTAGGGTTAACTTTCCTACTTCAAGTAGGAATCCTTGTTGGAGTAGGAATCCTCGTTGGAGTAGGAATCCTTGTTGGAGTAGGAATTCATATTTCTTCAAGTCTTCATCTCATTCATTCCTCTTTTGCTCCAAAAGACTCCAATTTGCATCTTCTTGCACACTTTGGCTTTATAACCTGAAAACACACAAAAGTGACTTTAAACACTAAAATAACTAAGGAAACACAACATAAATGCACAAGAACAAGCTAATTAAGTCACATGAATATGCTCCTATCAAGCACCAATCATAAATATATGCAACTACTAATGCATAATTAAAATAGGCAAAGACTATGCATGGCATTTTGAAACATATAAACGCTCAATTTCATTTTCTGTGAAAAACCACAAGTATATAGGTATATACGGAAAACCAAAAGCCCACTCACTAGTATGTGGAAGGGTCGTAGCCCCAAGCCTTGAGTGACTGCACTCGTCCTCATGATAGGTCTCACCTATATGCGAAACAACTATAAAAACATCAATTTAAAGCACATAACCAAAACTAGGTAATAACTTCTCATACAATGCTCAAATGGGGTGTTTGAATACACCAATGTGATCAACTCAACCTCACGAACATCCCCATATTTTTAAAATAATTTTCTGACCTCCCACGTGCCGTCATGCACCGGCCAAGGCACGGCTAGACGCGCCGGCCACGTGCAGGCACGTGCTTGGCACTCGTGTGGTAACCCTAACGGCGTTAGGGAATATTCTGTCCAAAAATGGAATATACCGTTATATATACCTGATGCCGTTAGTAACGCCGTTAGTATATTCCGTCAAAGTTAACAGAATATTCCTTGTCTTCTTTGGTGAGTCTTGCCAGTCGTTGCTGTCCGCCACCGTCAGCGCCGCCGTCTATAACTTGAATTCTCGCTGGAAATTGAAAAATTTTCAAAACTTCATATCTTCTTCATTTCTCAACCAAATTCCATGAAATTGGGACCAAAATGAAGCTTAAAATGAGTAGAACAAAATTTTACCACTTTGAAGCCCCAAAAATGCTGGAATCTCGCCGGAGAACCCTCGATATTTCCGGCCAAACTTGCAACTCACTGAACCTGGGCTTCCCGACGTCCAAAACACCTCGTTTTTCTTCTCTAAGCTTCGTGAGAGTGATCTAAAGCCTCCTATGACCTTAAAAGCTTCTAAAATGGTATATATGAACTCAGAAGGTTTTAAGTCTCACAAATGGTATATATGAACTCAGAAGGTTTCACGTGTGTGTGAACAGTGCATGAAATCTAGGGTTAGAGTTCTCGAGGTTTTCGAAGGTTGGTCTCACAATTGGTATATATGAACTCAGAAATTTGCAAGGAGTTCGAATCTTACCTTCTAGACATCGATCTGTACGTGAAAGGTTGGTTTTGAAGTTTGTTCGTACACTTGCAAGGGAAATGGAAGAAAATCCAAGAGAAAGAAGAGACAGAAAGGTCACGGGAGTGTATGGTATGGGTGTGTGTGTGTACTATAGAGTCAACCACCAAAAACAACTAAACAACACACCAAAATGACAAATACCCACCAAGGGCAAAATCGTCTTTTCACACTAAATGGTACAATTAAATTGGGACGGGCTATCACACTCCAAACATTGTTTGAGTTTTATTTGTTCTTTTCTCTTTATCAAAGGAAAGGATCGAGTTGTTCACCCGACCAAAGTATTTACAAGAGTACACCAAAACATTGTCTTCGAAAAGCGAAATTTATTTTTAAGGATATATAGTGATTACACCTCCAAAACAAAAATCTTGTTTCTACTAAAACATCCATGAAGGCCTACTTGTTTGCCCTAAAAGATGAGTATTTCATTGTATTTTTATTTATTTATTTTATTGTATAGTTATTTCTATTAAATTATTATTTACTAATATTTGTAGATTTTTATTGCTACTTAGACCCCAAGTATTAAAAAATTGGAGCAAACGTATGTATCATTTTGCTAATATTACATAACTTCACTTTCAACAATTTGCAGGTTTTAAAGGTGGCCTCAAATTTTATCCTTCTGTATAATGTGAATCCAGTTCTAAAAGGTGGAAGCGCATTTGGAGTAATCTCTTTGGGGGCATAGAGCTTATATTTGATTGCCCATAAGAATGGTCTGTTAAGTTCCGCGCGTTTTTGGTCATTTTTCCTGATTTAATGACTGAATATGTTTTTAATGCTTCAAAATTTTTTTTTTTTTGGTAATCCTATGTTTCCATGTATTTTGTCATTTTAAGGGAAAAACAATCATAATAGATTGATGTTATTATTTGTCATCCACTATATGAATGTTTAGGGTAGTCAAAATAGAATAACATGACAGTTATTTGCATCATCTTGATCATTTGGATGCCTGGTTCATGAAAATATTATATATTGTACATGTGTGTATTCGATTATATATGCATGGGTGAATGCGTGTTTCTCTGTCTCTGTCAATTTGTATTGGTTTTCTGTTTTAGGTTGATTTAGTTAATGGGGTTTGTTTTAGGTTGATTTAGTTAATGGGGTGTATCCGATTATATATTGTTTTTGTTTTTGTTTTAGGTTGATTTTATATAGTTGCTTCTTTGCTATGTTAAAACAACTTGGTTCAAATGATTGGAGTCTTAACTTCCAATTTGGTTCCATTTCATGAATAATATTGTATCTGGTTTATAATTCTCTGCTTACCATTATGTTTATCTACCATTTATGTAATCTTGGAGCAACTAGGTTATAAGTGAATGGGCTCAAAAGGGATTTCCTAGTGAATGTGTTGGAAAGAAAAGGGTTTGGTGACAGGCGGAGAAAATGGATATTGGGTTGCTTGAAATCTACCAACTTTTCCATCATAATAAATGGCCGACCAAGAGGTAAGTTTGGAGCGTTAAGAGGACTTAGACAAGGTGATTCTCTTTTGTCTTTATTGTTTAATCATGTCTACAACCTGATTGGTGCATTTTATGCAAGAAAAGTTCAAAGTCTTTTGACCATTTGTTTGTTCACTGTCTGGTGGCAGAGCTTCACGCAAAGAAAAGCAAGGTGAAGATATGGACGAACTACACACCCACTTCTACATATCCAAAAACAATTGATAACAAGAATTTGGCTGGAAAGGTAAAGCAACATTCTTGTTTTTTCTTTTTCCAGATTTGGGAGGAGTGGAGGTTCCCATTAGCATACATTTTCGTTTTCCTTTAATCCCTTTCATCCCTTCCCCATTTGAAAAAAAAAGAAAAGAATTTGATCTTCTGGGTTGTAGGCTTGGACCGTCGTAGTGGGAAGTCTGAAGCCCAACTTTGCGAATCACGTGGATTGGGGGTCTTTAATGCCACCGTTGAAGTATCAGGGAGATACCGACTTATGTTGGGCGTACTCGACAGCGACGTGTGCAGAGGCCCTATACTTCATTGAGATCGGAGAGCGCATATCAGTGGACATTACTAGCATGATCGAGAGTGCCAAGGACAACATGTTACCAGATGGCACGAATTTGCCCGAGAACGGCTTCCAAGTCATGGCAAAGGGTGCCCTTTGTTAGCAGGGCTGGCCCCTCAAGGTAAATCTATTTGCATATTCTTCGTAAAATAAATTATTAAATTTTGGATTTTGAATGTCGATAATAACTTGGTTTTGTTTCCAGGGTAAGGAAGTGTTGTTTTTCTTGGGTGAAGTTAAGAAATTGTTGGGCGAACAAGAGATGAAACAAGCACTTGATTTTGGCCCAATTTGTGTCATTTTGGATTGTCATCCATGCATGTTATCCTTTGCCAAGGTATTGTCTTGTTACTCTCACTCTTTTTTGAATATTACGAGTGTAAAACTTTAACTTATATATGCCTTGTGCCTTGTCTTTGGTTTAAGAGTGTTCGGTGAATTTTGTGAGGGCTAAGTAATAGAAATGCGTGAATAAATGAGAGGTGAGAGAGGTGCGCGAGGTGGGAGACATGGTAAAGTGCCTTGAAGCATAACTATGCTCCTGAACGGGGTCCCCGAGCCATTGCTCAACAAAGTCTGCAACGGTCATTTCCATTCTCTTCTGATGTCTGAATTCTCTAGTACCACAATCTGCAACCTATAAGTGACAAAATATCACCACAGAAAAAACAAAACAAAATAAAAGGGGTGGTGGGATTAATTAGGATTAACTTAGGATTAATTCCTCTAACATACTTCTTAATCATGACAATCACACATCACCTGAAAACTACTTAGCACTGAAATATTACACCAAAAATACCAAGCTTGAATCTTTAACTACAGAAAACAAAACAGGGCTGATAGATTAGCTAATATCTAATTACCACATAATCAATCTTCTTAATTATGATTAATTCCTTCTAAACACACTTCGTAATTCATATTTAATTTCACTAAATCGGATTTCTGCAAGAAATTTAGTACCTGAACTTTGGATTTTCCGAAATGGGTAGCGAAAAATTGAACATTTGGCTGGCCGTTGTCGGTGACCCAATCTGCAAGCTCCCCAATCGTCCATGAGACCTGTGAGCACCACAGGCTGGTTTTTCTCCAGGTACCTCCCCACGAACTCGTTGTACCCCAGTTTTTTCCCGCTCACCTTCTCTATTTGCCCCCCAATTTGAATACCCACGTTTTCTTCTCCCAGCTTATGCTACTTCAGCGAGTTAATTCGGATTTCCAACGTTCGGTTTCTCTGCGCGCCCTCTTTGGTTTCGGGAAGACGACTTGAGTTGAGCCAGGCCGGACCGGGGAGGTCCAAGGTGATTTTAAAGGGTCCAAATTTGGCCGAAGTTTTATTTTTTATTTTTTATCAAAACAAAATTCATTAAAGAGAAAAATCACGAGAACACCTGTTTCCAGTACTGTCAAAATTAAAAGCATTAAGAGCAATAGAGGGTAAGCAATGATCCCATATGTGAGGAGTCTTAACCGAAAGACCCAGGTAAGCTAAGGCATCCGCGACAAATTTGCCTTCCTAGTAGATATGGTTCCACACCACTTGACTAAATGAGCAAGCAATACAACGTGCATCCTCAATGATAGTTCTAATCTTCCAAGGAATCTCCCAATTTCCTTGAACTGCCTCAATACAAGCTTGGAGTCTTCCTCTTATCATCACCTTTTGGAAGCCCTTGGACCGAGCAAACTTGAGTCCTTCTTTTAAGCCCATCGCTTTAGCAAACGAAATAGTGATCCCATCAAGATTGAAGGCACCCGCATCCACAACTTGGCCATCATAATGTGGAAAAATGAGTTTTGATATATTTCCAATAATAATATGTGTTTATAGCAAAAGCACAACATAAAGCAGCAAACAAAACACAAGGGAGAAGGGACATGCCACATTCTCCTTGATTTAAGGACTAAACAAATGGATTTTGACTGATTGCAAGGCACTCCTTGATTTAAGGAGATTTACATCAAAAAGTCACCTAAAAACCCTAGTTTCTAGGAGCAGCAACATGTTGTTGCAGGAAGTATGATGCTCTCAGGAAGGAGCAGCGATAAGACTTGCTGCTACTGAAAACTAGGGTGGCTGCAGGTTTCCCTTGCTGTGGCTTTTCGTTCAAGACTCCCCCTCAAGCTGGATCCATAAGATTAATGGAGATAAGCTTGCCAAGAAGGTGCTGAAAATGTGTAGTTGGCAATGCCTTGGTAAACAAATCAGCCAATTGATCATGGCTACGAGTAAAGAGAGTTTGAATAACTTTGGACTGAACTTGAGCTCGCACATAATGGCAATCCACCTCAATATGCTTGTTATGTTCATGGAAGACCGAATTGGATGCCATATGCATCACGGCTTGGTTGTCACACATAAGGGGCATCGGTGCATTGCTAGGGAACCCAAATTAAAAAGAAGACTCTTGAGCTATATAAGTTCACACACAGTGGAAGCCATTGCCTGATATTCCGCCTCAGCACTAGAGCGAGCAATGACATTCTGTTTTTTGCTTTTCCAAGTGACCAAATTACCACCCACAAAGTACAATAACCCGTGGTTGACTTTCCATTGAGAGCATTGCCCGCCCAATCTGCATCCGTATAGCCTTGTATTTGGGTTGAACCATTATTTGTCATGAAAATACCACGCCTAATGGACCTTTTGAGATACCGTAGTATCCTTTTAACAACATGAAGATGTGTAATAGTGGGAACATGTACAAACTAGCTAACAAGACTCACGACATAAGTAATATCAGGCTGTGTAATAGTAAGATAAATGAGTTTACCAACTAATCGTTGATAGTAACTTACGCGAGTGAGAAGTTCCTCAACCATGTCCAACTTGAGCTTGTAATCCAAAGGAGTAGTGACTGGTTTACAATCAAGCATACCGACCTCTTGAAGAAGATCCAACACGTACTTTCTTTGGTTAAAAAACAGTCCATTATGGGAAGTTGCCATCTCAATGCCAAGAAAGTAGTTTAGCTTACCAAGATCTTTGATAGCAAACTTTTGATGAAGAAACCGTTTTTGGAACACAATCTCGTCCATATTGTTGCCAGTTATGATAAGATCATCGACGTAAATTAACATCACCAATTTACCCAATGAACCTATGTGAATAAACAAGGATGAATCTGCATTACTCCTGGAGATTCCTACCTCTTCCAAAACCGAGCTTAACTTAGCGTACCATGCTTGAGGAGACTGTTTTAACCCATAAATGGCTTTGTGAAGTTTATAAACAAGGCCATTTTTGGAAGCTTGAGGATGTCCATGAGGTAGTTGCATATATACTTCTTTTTCAAGTTCCCCATGCAAGAATGCGTTTTTCACGTCCATTTGGAATAAGAACCAACCTTGGTTAACTGCCACAGAAAGAAGAACCCGAACTATATTCATCTTGGTCACAAGCGCAAAAGTCTCCTTGTAGTCCACCCCATACATTTGAGTCAAGTCCCGAACCACTAATCGTGCTTTATAACGCTTAATAGAACCATCAGAATGGAATTTGAGCTTGTAGACCCACCTACTGCCCATGACTTTCTTGCCACAAAGGAGGTGGACAATACCTCAAGTGTGGTTGTCGTTAAGGGCTCGCAATTCCTCGTCCATAGCTTGTCTCCATTTGTTATGAAGGTTGGCTTCTTGCAATGTACTAGGTTCATGGTGGTTTGAGATAACACTGAGAAAAGTTGCATGGGAAGGTGAATAGCGATGATATGCAAGAGTGATTGAATGCCGTGCTTCATAGGTAACATAGTCCAGCAGTTTAGGTGGAGGTTGGCATGCTCTTGGAGGATTTCTTCTAACTGGAAGTGGGTCAACCTCTTGACGGCTGGGAGATGTTGTTATGGTCTCGCCATGGGATTGTGGCATATGGCAAGGACTTGAAGAATCAGAAGAATGAGAGGCATCGGAAGTAGGAGCATGAGCGACATCAACTTGAAGATAATCTAAGTTAATATCCCTACTAGGATTAGGCAGTGGAATCAAATTCTCCCAAGTCTCCCCCTTACTTGAATATGCGGTTCCTTTGTGAAAATAAGGAATGGACTCCTCGAAGTTTACATCTTGAGACATTACAATCTCGTTAGTAACATCATTAAAGCATTTATACTCTTTCTGAGTTGAAGAGTAAGCCCAAAAACACACACTTAATAGATCGGGGATCCAACTTATCACGATGAAATGCTTGAACATGCACAAAACATGTACATCCAAACACTTTTAAATGTGACAAATCTATGGGCCTATTTTTAAGAACTTTATAGGGTGATTTAAATCCCAAAATTCTACTTGGAAGCCTGTTTATCAAATATGTGGCAGTGAGCACGCCTTGTGACCAAAACTTCTTAAGAATGTTCAAATGAAGCATCAGAGAACGTGTATTCTCTAGGAGGTCTCTATTTTTCCTCTCGGCCACCCCATTTTGTTGGGGTGTCCCAACACAACTTGTTTGATGAAATATGCCATGCATGCTCAAATATTGTGTCATGTTGTTAGACATGTATTCAGTGCCATTGTCCGACCTTAATGTTTGAAGATTGGACTCAAAATGAGTAGTAACAAGGTTGTGAAAGTCTTTGAACATAGTAAACACTTCACTTTTGAATTTCAAGAGATATAACCAAGTGATTCTTGTGAAATCATCAACAAATGTCACAAAATATTTGTAGCCATCAAATGATTCATTAATTGGACCCCAAATGTCCGAGTGTACAATTTCAAAAGGCTTACTAGCTCTAGACAAGGAAGAAATAAAATGTAGTCTAGCGAATTTGGAGAAATTACAAGTGTCACTCTTGATAAGAGTTTGACACATGGTAGGAAATAACTTAGACAAAATAGGTGTGGATGGATGTGCTAGATGTTGGTGCCATAAATGTGGATCTTGGGGCTGTTTTGAACTTGAGGCTGCACTAACTTGGAGGCCTTTGGATAGTGAGCAATTTCTTGGAATAGTAGAGAACATTGAGAAAGAAACATTCACCAATCATCTTCCCGGTGACTAGGTCCTGAAAAATCACATTTTTTGGTGAGTTGCAAGATAGTTTAAAGTTTTGGTAATTTTTTTCCAATGGAAAGAAGTTGAAAAGGGAAGCCAAGGACATATAAGGTAGTGGACTCAACTTGGTTCTAAATTAACCTAATTTTTCCTCTACCCATAACGAAGACTCATTTTCTGTTAGCAACAGACACTTGAGATGACATATTGTGAAATTCATGCAAGTTTGTTTTTTGGTTTGTCATGTCATCAGTGGCATCCGAATCAATGATCCAATAATCATGCACACAACTATTATTTAGAGCAGTAAAAAAAGCATGGAAAATACTTGGGA